AATCCAGGGTTTGGGGCATATGTCGGTCATTAATTTGCTATGTGACTTCACACATACCACATCTTCTCTCCTCACTTCATTTTTCTAAGAGGATTGTGTCAGTTATAGAGTTTCTTTCAGCTCGAAATTGTTAAAATGCTCCAAACCAGAGTTCTATGAGGCATCACTAGAAGCTCTAATAAATTAAATGTGCTCAGAGCAGGCATGTTTAATTGCATGCCACTGCATGCCACTACACTTTCTGCCAGCAAGTTACTAGAGGTAAAATTCCTAGCACAGGGGATACAACAGAAAATTTTAAAGCTTTTCAATGTTTAGAAATACTTGGTAGAAGCCTTCCCATTATAACTGGGACTTAGTGTATCTAAGCCCAAAAGCCTGTCTTTGAAGATGCTTATTATTACTCTACTAGAAAATTATCCATTTCCTCTTATGGGAATATTGATAATGCCTGATTCTTAGGGCTGGGGTAAGAATCCACAGTCAATCTAGAGAGAGTACTCAGCACAGTGTCTGACACAGAATAAACAGGATACAGAGGTTTGCTTATGATTACATGCTTTTTGTTAATATTATCACCTCAAGCATTAAAAACTGAAGGGGAAAACAGTTTTACTCCAGGACAACAAAAGCATGTTCCCTTACAGATACACAAGGCTGGTAGTCACCCTAGGAGAGAACTCTTACACGTGTTTGAAATACAAAACACAAAAGCAAATGGCCCATCACAGTGTGCATGGTCCTCTGCTAGTCCTTCTCACCTACTCTTACCCTTCTTGGTCTTGTTCCATATAAGTCATCTAGGGACAAAGCTACTTGACTCAAAAGCCAATGAGGGTAGTTAGATTGCTTTTTAAAGTATTTTGGGTCCCCTCTTAGGCTGGTAATGATAAAACTAGGCTTTTTAAAAAAGAAACATAATAGTTCTCATACTCACAAACTTAGATCTACCTAACTTTCACCAATGCAATTTACAGGTAAATCAAACAACTTTTCAGGAATACCACATCCTACCTGGAGGCTCACTCACTGATCAAAGGTAAAGACAAAAGGTTGCTCCAAGCAAAGCCTCCAACACTACAGTGGATCGCTAAAGCAAATGAAGTACCACATTTCATATCTGTATTGTACTACTCTATTCTTTAATAATAATAAACAGTCTTTTGACATTTTGAGGCCAATGACTCAAAGGCAGTCAGGCACTTAAATAGTGCATAATAAATGAACAGATAAATGAATGGCAGTATAACTACTGACATCTTAGAGATGAAGGACCTTAAGGGTCAAGTCATGCTTCCTCACAGACTCCGATTCCTCAGCCTATGTCCTACTTTACTTTTTTATTTCCTCTCTGCAGCAAACTATAACGATAAGTGGTCCTGTACTGGTGTGAGATTGCAAAGATATGCCAGTGATAATATGCATTTCACTGACATAGGAAGAACAGTAGCTAACCCACTGAACTGGATTCTTAATCCCAGCTCTTGATATTTACTAACTAGAGACAGGGAACTTACCATTTGTGTAATAGTAATAATAATGATATCTATCCTATAGAATTGTCGTAAATATTAACTGAAATAATCTATGTCAAATAACTAAGTTCCTAGTAAGGGCCTGAAGATGTCAACTATTATTTTAGTCTTATTAAAATAAGTTAAAGGTCAATGTCATAAAAAACAAAAGCTGAGGATATGTTCCAGATGAAGATACTTGGTAACTGCTGTGATTTGAGGATAACTCCAAAAAAGCATATTTTGGAAACTTAATCCCAATGCAATACTGTTAGGAGGTGGGACCCATCACAGGTGCTTAGGTCATGAGGGGTCCATGCTCATGAATGGATTAAAGCCAATTACAGAGAGCATGAGGCCATGAGTTCAATCTCCGTGCTTTCTCTTGCCCATGTGATGCCTTCAGTCATGTTATGACTCAGCAAGAAAGCCCTCATCAGATGCTGGCCCCCTAATCTTAGGATTCTGAGCCTCAAGACTGTGGGCTAAATAAATTTCTGTTTGTCATAAATTACCTAGTCTATGGTATTCTGTTATAGCAGCACAAAATGAACTAAGGCATAGATTCTTCACTGGACAAAATAAATGTGATCAAGAACATAGTTAGAATACTTGAATCTGTTATTTGTATTCTACCATTAAATATATTAAAGTTGATAAATGGACTATGGTTGTTTTAAAAAGGACCTTGATGTGTGCAATTTTCTCTCAAATGATACAAAAGAGAAAAAAACAACAAAACATAGAGAAAAATGTATTAGGTGAATCTGACTTGCAGTGGACAATAAGATATTTGAACTATTCTTGGAATTTTTTTCTGTAAGTCTGACAGTATTTCTAGACAGCCATACTTGCCTAAAGCCCATCTTTAACAGTGCTTGGAAAATAAAACAATAGAGCTGGGAATGTGGCTCAGGCGGTAGTGTGCTCGCCTGGCATGCGTGCGGCCCGGGTTCGATCCTCAGCACCACATATCAACAAAGATGTTGTGTCCACCGAGAACTAAAAAATAAAATATTAAAAATTCTCTCTCTCTCTCTCTCCCCTCTCTCACTCTCTCTTAAAAAAAAAAAAGAAAAGAAAACAATAGATAAGCCAGAGTCCTTCAGAAGGGGCAAATAAATTCATTCCCAGGTGATTTCCCTTTACTTACAAGATTATCTTGGCTGTAGTTTACAATTTCTTTGTGATTTCTGGCCTCTGCCTACTTCATCCTGCTCCATTCCCCCCTAATCTAGACACAGTGACCTTCATTGGGTCCTGCAGACATGTACAGCTTCCTACTTCGGAGCCTTGCACCTGTTATTTTCTCCCCCTGGGATGTTACTCTTCCTGATCTCCACATGGTTGGCTCCTTGTTGTCATTCATTTTATAAATTTATTATCACAATTTCAAGGTGAACTTCCCTGGAGATCCTACCACTTACCTCATCTACATTAGCCTTCTAGAGTAGAGCTTGGCACACCACTTGGGATATAGTCTGGGCTCAACAAATGTTATTGTATGAACAAAGTAAGCCACAGTCCTATTCATAAGACAACTTGGATTTTCGTTCTCTTCTACCCCAATCACATTACTCATATTTATTATGTAGTCACTTAAACTATTATAGTTATCTGCATATCTTTCTCCCTGCTAAATTTTAAGCTGCTTGTGGTAAGAAGCTATGCCTCCCTTCTCCAATTCCCAGTGCCTTCTTCAACACATTTACAAGGCATCAATAATTCAAGCTAGCAAAGACTTAGTTTCAGGAGTTTAAAGAAAATTTTTACATGGTGTCTTTCCACTCTCCTAAAAGCACTAAAACCAAATAATAACAATTAGGGCTAACAGTCATGGAGTGCTTATTATAATCTCAATATATGCACTCAGTATTTTTTATAAGTGTTTTAAATATTTTATCTCCTTGGGTCCTCATTATAGCCTTATAAGCTAAGATACTATTCCCATTTTATAATAAGAACCTGAGGCTCAGAGAGATTGCATTACTTCCCCAAGGGTGCACAGTAATGAAGAGGCACAAGTTAAATCTAGACATTGAAACCCTAAAGCCCATGCACTCTATTACTCCAGGATAGCTGGAGAAAATTCAGTGTGCTGCTCATTCTTTCCATTCCCACTCTGCCAAATTGATCTATCTACTACCACGTGGACACTTGCACATGTGATAGCAAGCTGACCTTACTCTGGGATGGCTGCTCAAGTACTATACAGTGAAGGGCATTACTGAGAGAGTTCACTGTCCAAAATAACTCTCAACCACCCCACTAGAGTGACTGAAAATCCTGTATCAGGGAACCAATCCTTATGTAAGCAAAATCCCTAGTTAGAGCCTAAATATGATCCAAAAGGTTAACTGCTTACAGCTAGCATGAGTCATAAACAATTTTGCAGTAAATTATTCAGATTATCCAGCAGAGTTCTGAGGAATGGAACCCATCCAGTTAAGGTTAGGTTATGGAAAAGAGAAATTTCAAGGAACATCTAAGGGGTATACTCCTTCAAGACCAGATCAAGGTCAGATGGAAGGTACACACGTTCATGTATATGTAGTAAAGGGCAGGAGGGGGTCAGAAGAGTAAGACTAGACTCTTATAACAAAATTGGAGATGCTTAAAAATGTCCATCTTCTGCAAAATGCTGCTTTAGAACCGGTCCCAAATAGCAGCATTAAAGTTATTCACACACAGCAAAGCAAAACCACAGAGCACAGAGATAGGTGCCTGCACTATTCAGCTAGACAATACTGGTCTTCATCAAATTAGAACCAACAAAGAGTTAGATAAAAGCCAACAAGCCAGTCACTGTCTAAAAAGCAGATGTTCATGCTACACATGGCATTACAGCATCAGGGAGAAGGATTTCTAGGCACTTTTCATAATTGAAAGCACTCTCCCCACACCCCTGCTGGCCCGTTTTAATACCTGTACTCCCCCCTAAAGGGTCCTCAACCCTCACAAAATGGCATTGATGCTGCTTCTACACATGACTGGGTATCTTCAGCCCTGGGCCATTTTAAGCCAGACAACCTCCACTGGCTGAGAGGGTTGATTATGAAATCTCTTCTAGGGTCAAGAGGAAAGGGCTGACAGGCAGGCAGGCAGGGGGGCAGGCAGGGAACCTCCTAAAGTGGGAACCACTGAGATAACCTCATTATCTGTTGGCAGGTAGGAAGGGCAAGATCTCTGGACTGGAGATCAGAGGTGTTGGGGGCTCACTAGGGCCAAGGACACTTTGTCTTGTTTCTTCCTGGTCAAGGTAGGACAATTATCTAGGAGAAAATTCCCCAAACTTGAGTCCTTTGACCAGGCATCGCAACTGTACCCCCTGTCTCCATCTTCTACTTCCAATAATTTGGCAAACAATTATCTTGATTGGATATTTGCACTTAAATACGTTTATTTTAAAAGGAAAACTTTGTACCATCAAGAAATCGCTTCGTTTAATGGAGCAGTTTTCCCTCTTACTAACAAAAACACGTAACTATGTTTATCCACGTGCCACCAAATCATCTCTGCTACCCTCGGCGGTGCCAGCTCAAGGAGCAGCTTTGGGAAGCACAAAGCTATCCCCGCGAGGTCCAGGGTTGGAGCCCAAGCCAGTCAGTGTTTCCACGCCTCCTCCCGGCGAGGGGCAAGTCCAGAGGACTCACCCGGAGGCCACCCCTCCCTCCAGGAGTACCACGTTTCCTGTCAAAACAAACCCGAGGAGGAGGGGACAGCGGAGGCAGAGCCGAGTGCCCGGGAAACCCCGGCAACAAACCCCAAACACTCGCCGCGGGCCCCGCCCGGCCGGGGAAGGGGCCTCCGCAGCCCCGGTGGAAAGCCGCCCGCGGAGCAGGCGCTGGCCCCGGCCCGGCGGGCTGTGAGCAGCGCCGAAATGCCCGGACCCCGCCGCCTCCGGGTCCGGCAGCCCGCGGCCACTCGCGTGCGCTTCCCGCTCCCACGCGGGACGGCAGTTCTAGGTCAAACGGGGACAGGGACGGGGTCGGGGTGAGGGGTCAAGCTTGTTGGTTCCTGGGCCCCGCGGTCTCAGGACGGCGTTCCGAGGTGGAGCGGGGAGGCCTGGGCTGCCCTGGGTTGAGCTGTCCCCTCTCGGGCCCTAGCTCATTACCTCACAGACCGAGACCCCCTCCCCGGGGAAGGATACGCACCGAGTCCGGCGCGGAGACAGGAGGAAAGCGACCAAGTGACCCCGAACCAGGGGTCTCAGGGAGTCCCCTAACCAAGCGCCGCACTACCTCGGAACTCCTCGACAACTCCAGCCCCTCGGCACCCTCCCCCCGCCCCCACACGCGGTATTTAAAGGGCCCTGAGAGACTCCAGGGAAGAGGCCACTCCAAAACCCGTAAGAGGGAGGATGACGGAGCGGCGGAGCCGGGAAAGGCAAGTCATTTCAGGCTCCGAAAGCCGAATTCGCACATAATTAACCTAAGACCCAAAGAATATTCCCGAGGTTCGTATGGGAAAAGGTGAAGATAGCTCGGGATGGAGGCCGTTTCGCATGAGAGAAGGATGCTCCCCCGCGCAACGAGTGGTACGGTCCGAACTGCACGGGGCGGGGAGAGGAGTGTTTACGGAACTGGGGCAGCCTTACGGTGGGAAGGGCCGGGCGTTGGGGGCGGGGCCTAGCGGAGGCGGGGCGCCAGACGTTGAGGGCGGGGCCTAGAGGGGGCGGGGCCAGGGAAGTGCTCGAGTCCTCTGCCCAAGGCTGGATGCTTCTCAGGCTCAGTGAACCGTGCTGTCAGATCCTTGCCCCTCCTGAAACTTTCAGAACCGTCACACCTCTTACCTAGACCTGGCACACTCAGCTAGGTGCCCATCACCGCACTATATACACACACAAACACGCACACACAAACACACACAGAGACCAGCAAACCGAAAACGTCACAAGTGGACTTTCCCAAGCACTTCAGAGACTCACCAAGTCATCCACATTTGTGTCTGCATCTCCATTTAAAAACACGGGTTCAGATTTGCACCTGGACGCTACGATTAGCCCCTGGGAACCACACCTACCCAGGTTCTCGGAAGACTTCGTGTGCGTGCAAAAGATAAAGCTTCATACTTCCTCTAGGGTTCTTTGGCAGCGCCTATCTCTGGGAGAAGTTTCAACTTGGGTTAATGTAAATAACCAGCTATAGGAGAGGTTCTGTGCGGTCAGGCTGCAGTTCATCTCTTGTGAACTCGCTTCAGGGCATACAAGAAACAAATTCCCCCCACCATACACAAGAAAACCTCTATGTCTTCTGCCAGAGGTAAATGACTATTACTTGGGAGGCAGTTTCACGCAGGAATGTTAGTAGATTGTGTATAGGCCTAGGTATTTCTGCCTAGTGCTGAAATCATATCTGGATTGTGAAGGCAAGTTGGCCAGCACTGTTGTAGAAAGAAAGAAAAAGAAAATCAAAAGCAGACTGGCAACATTTTAAAGCAGGATAGAAATCCTGGTTTTCAGTGGTTATGACATGGACTCTTCTTAGTTTCAAAGCCTGCCTCTGATATTTACTACCCATGTGATCTTGGTCATTGAGAGTAACAATAACTGTTCCATTGGGTTATCATGAGGGTTATTATGAGGAGGAATTGAGATGAAGTATGTAACATGCTTAGTGGTGTACACAGTAAGCACTCAATCAGTGTTAGTTTTTGAAACTATTTGGCAAACCACTCTGAACAAACTTAGCTGGTAATCTGTAGAGATTTATATGTGTTTTCTTTTGTCACTCCTTCTAAAATATACAACCATCTGATACAGATCAAGAGATTAAAAAGAAAATGTCGTTACCACTCAGATTCTTCCTACAAACACACCCTTATTTATATCATTTGTTGGAATACGCAGATGACAGAAGTCTCCAATTTAAATTATTGCCAAATAACAACCACAACACAACTGCCATCACCACCATAAAAGCTCTAATAGAAAGATTAGCCAAAAAATATCCCCAGACTGCTGGTAACTCTGTGACAATGACACATTGCAGCATTGCTTCCTTTGTAGCTTTGTAGGAATGTGTAATGTATTATTTTGTGCTGTGACATAACCTGGGACAGGTGGACATGAGTCAAGGTAGTTGTCCGGTCTACCCAGGTGACCATCTGCCTGACCCTAGCTATGACACTTATTTTAAAGCTCAAATATATAACTCTCAAAGCCACAAGGAAGCAATTTTTGTCAAAGCAGATGAGTCACAATTCAGCATGTGTAAGAATCTTAAGTTGGAAGAGATAGTAAAACATCACATACCCGAGTTGGGACACAGAGAGATCCTGGAAACACAATCTTCTGTCGCTTTAATGTTAAATAACTTGCTACCTTAAAACCTTTTGGTGAATTACCTGACCAACTGCTTTCAGCTGGGCTTGTTTGTAAAAGCACTTTGAAATAATATAGCCCTATAAAATATAAGGCAGTTCCTTTTAAAAATGAGCCTTATATCAATCACATCCTTGCTCACAGAACTCAGAGAGTTGTAATATAATATCCTCCCTGCTCAGATGATGTTCCCGATCTTCTGGGGGGAAAATATTCTGAAAAGTTGGCCTCTTTATTAAGCAAAATAATTAGTATTTTAATTGAAGAAGACATATTATTGCACCTAATTTTCATAACTTACCTTTTTGAGTTATTTAGAAAACTCATGGTAACATAGTTGGTTTTCCCCCTAAAAATTCCACAAGAGATCAAATTTGGTCTAAGAGCAAAACACTAAGGGCAGATTAATATTTTTTTGCTTGATAAAGACATATGAATAATCATTTTCTTTTTACTATCTGAAGTCTGAGTTTTAAATTACAAGGAATTCTTTAACAAATCAGAAAATGCAAAAATGTATATTGTCATATGCAACTTCTCAAACATTTGGCTTTTCTGATGGAGTTGCATCATGTGCAGGTTTAATATCATGCATTCAAACTCAGTTACACATACTCAATTAGCATGGGGACTGGGAAGCACAAGATTTAAACATTTAAAGATTTAGTGGTCTTACCTACTGTTTCCTCCTATGGAGATCCTGAGGCCTCTCATTGTGTTCCCAGGCTGTTACTTGGGGCTGGCTTCTTGGTCTGTAACCTGTGCATTTGTCCAAGACCTTACTCTTGAAAGAACACTGTGCTTCGTTTCATGCTCCACTACTGTTATTTTAAATTCTTAATCCTTTTTAAACAAGGGGTCCCTGCATTCTCATTTTGCCTTGGACCCCTACAAATGATGTAACTAACTGGTCCTAACCTCACCATACAGAATATGAACCCAGTGTTTTTAAAGTCACTTTGTCCCACTAAGCTGCCCCCAAATGTAAGTCTACTATTTCATCTAGTATTCAGTTGGAGAAACATATCTGTGTCGATGCTGAAGGAAAACAAACAAACAAAAACAGGTTGTATGGCCCATTTACGAAGTTTTAAAGAGTAGTTTTGACTGTACATGATTTTGACCTTATGTTCTCCCCTTATAGCCTAACATCTCACATAAGATGTGACTCCACTGTAAAAACGAAAGATTAAATGGAATCCCATCTCTTTCTCTCTCCTCAGTCATCTTAAGGTGCTAGGAAAGGGTCAAAAAATCACTAAGGGGAAGAGAGATGCAATTGAAAGCAGAAAGAAGAGAAAGAATGCAGCTTATACACATATCATATAGGTCACTGAATGTTTAAAGATCAGCTGCATACCTTCTGCTCAAATTTGCTGTGAAAGAAAAACTGTTCTAAAAAAAAAAAGAGGCTATTAAAAATAAATAACCACATCTTCTTGGCAAATCCCATTGTTCTCTTTCTTTTGGTCTTGAAGATAAGGCAGATTTAAGTCATTGGTCAGTTTGTCTATTACTTGACATTTGATCAGTTTCCCAGAGCACCACAACCAGTTTTTCTCATGATTCCACTGAACTGAATTAGTATAAGATTGGAAGTTCACTTCTCATTCCAGTTGCTTGTACCCTCAACGTTTAGACACTACCCAGACCCTGACCCTGTCAGATAGGAAAAAGACAAGTGCCTTCCCCCATCCCTCCAGGCTCCTTCCACTTACCTGGCCACCACTGTTCTCCTCTGGAAAGTAAAAACAAGAATGACAACCAGCAACAAGGACAGCTCAGTAGGAAGCCGGGTAGGAAGTGGGAGGAGCCCAGAGCACTTAAGAGGGAGGTCAGAGAGGTCATGGTGATGGCTCCTTCCCTGACCAGGACAAATCTCTCTCCTGAGTCCATCTCTTGGCCAGCAGGTAAACTTTTTCTAAGCAATGTCTGTGGGTGACCACTTTAGGCTCTCACTTTTAAAATCAAGTGGAATGCCCAATGGAATGGAAAACAGCTTCTAAGATAAGATGCAAAACGCAGAAGACATAAAGGCAAGATTAGTAAATATGACTCTTCAGATACAGAATGCAACATAAAAACATGAATTACAGAACAATGATTACAGGGTAAGGCCATGTATGCTGGAAAGAGCCCACAGTAGAGACAGCATGCCTGCATCCCATATGAAATGTGTAAAAAGGGACAAAAGACCCTCCAAACTGATTAGGAGGCAAGTTGGGAAATGTTCCCAATTCATTCTCTATACCTCCAAATAGTTCTTTTATAACGAGAATGTACTCGTTCATAGTAGCGTAATTTCACACGGCCATACCATGATGCCACTCTTATCATTGTGTGTTCTCCTAAGTATACCTCGGTGGAGATAAGCTATCAACACTTCACGATATTTTCCTATTTCCTTTGTATACATACTTAAGACAGTCATGATAACCAATGGAGCTTTTCACATAAAGTATATAAAGGAATCTGTTTGAAAAAGTTCCCTTTCTATGGTATGTCAAATTTATTTATGCCGGTTGGGGGAATATTGATTCTTAATTTTTAGGTTATTCTCTTTAAGCCCTATTCCTAGATAGCCAAAGTACACGGACTTTACTTTCTTTTTAAACATGTTTATGTCCCAACCTCTGACCTCCAAGGCCTTCCTTTCTTTCATGACTAGATAAGCATCCTTTCCCGAAGTGGTATGGAACTTGGATCATTATATTACTTTTTTTTTTTTTTGCACTGGAGATTAAACCCAGAGTGCTTAACCACTGAGCAACATCTCCAGTCCTTTTAAAAAATATTTTTGTTTAGGGCTGGCTGGGGTTGTGGTCCAGTGGTGGAGCACTCCTCTAGCACATGTGAGACCCTGGGTTCGATCCTCAGCACCACATGAAAATAAATAGATAAAATAAAGATATTGTGCCCAACTACAGCTAAAAAAATACATATTTTAAAAACATATTTTGTTTGGACACAGGGTCTCACTCAGTTTCTTAAGATGTTGCTAAGTTGTTGAGACTGGCCTTGAACTCACAATCTTCCTGCCTCAGCCTCCTGAGCCACTGGGATTACAGGCATGCACCACCATGTCTGGCTTATATTACTTTTTGAAGATGAAAAATTGAGGGCTCTGGGCATTCTGATGCCTGCCCAGTGCTTGTACCTGAGTTCTTGAACATTCTAGTGGGAGATCTTATACCAGGATACTAAGGGTTTATGAC